GTTGATGCTCGCCCTTTGTGGCGAAGTAATGCGACAAACAATTGCGAGATCTCGAGAGATGCATGAAAGACGCGCGTCGAACGTCTGCCGCAAAAATCGAACGATTTGATTTTGAACTTGCTCCCGAATACCCTTACTTAATCGAAATTGCCTATCATCAAATGTGGACAGCACATTATTAAGCATGGAAATGTCCCCGAAATACTTTCGCGTTTGTCGATGTTTGACGCGACTACGACGCTATGACCTTTGTTTGACATGTTTTTACGTTCGATTCCACGCATAACGCGTGATTCTCGCAGTGAACGGGAAATGGTCTATTGGTAGATATTCCAACGTTACACTATAGTATACTATTGTATAGATATTATAAATATAAAAATTGGAAATAAAAAAAAACCTGTAAGTCTATATTAAAACGTTTGATTTGAAGTATCGTTTGTACGGGTTGCCACCTACTGTCTTTCCGAACAAATAACGTGGTATGATCCTACTACAATAACTAGCCATTCTGCAAACATTGGACATGTACTGGTGCCTGTGTTGAATCATGATAGATAATATGTCATACCTGTAATGCGCGCCCCTCTGCCCGCGCACATTGCGAGTATTGAATGGCGTATTGAACGCACACATGGGGTGAGTCGAGTGATTATGAGTGACAACGTTTCTGAAATTCTAGAAACGCGTCGATCGACCACACACCAGCGTGTGGACTTCTCCCGATGACAGCAGTGGGCGAAGATTGTCGAATAAATGGTACATCGAGTGGACATATCATAACTACAAGCAAAATTGTTAGGATCGGCTTATGAATGCCGTTTTTCGTCGATAAGTTGATTTCAAACAAACATTATGCCCGACTTCGCGAAGACTAGAAAAACTAGAACATATAATGCAATAAATCAGTTTCTCGTTTTTTTGTGGAGCTTTTAGTCACCATTGTTGCTGTAGGTGAGGGCTACTTCATTTGACTCCACCCGCGCCTGTTTATATATCATGTCGGACCTAACAAGTTCTCTCAATGTACAGTCCAGGTTTAATTTAATTGGTTTAATTTTAATCAGGATTGCATTTTTTTAAGGGCATGATGTACTCGTTTCATTTGTCACATTTCAAGGTGAATACACTGTCTGATTTCATTTTCGCATTCTATCATGCAGATTTGCGCTATTTAAACTGTTGGCTTGCTGATTCAGTGACGAGACCTGGGAAGGCTGGACTCATAATGGACATACACGATACACTAAATGAACCATTGGAAGTTCAGAACATTATCAAAGAATTGCACCTTGTCCCGTGCCCAGAAGGAGGGTATTACATACAAACGTACCGGTCTGGTTCAGAACCTATGTCGTCATCTGCACTAACCGACATTAATGGCACTGTAATGGCACCTGTTGGACGCAGGAATTCAGTGCGTAATATCTGCACATCCATAGTGTATCTACTGACCAAGAATTCCCCGATAGATTTCCTGCATCGAAATGAATCCGATATGGTGAGGTATTACCATGGCGGGGGGACAGTTCAGGTTTACATACTTTCACCCGACGGTAAACTTCATCAACATAGACTAGGAATGAATTTCTCTGCGGGAGATGTTCTGCAAGTGGTGACGCCCGGTGGCTTCTGGGAAGCCTTGGAGCTGGTTGATGGCGATTGGGCTCTGCAGGGGGAGGCAATGGCCCCAGGGTTCGACGATCGCGACTTGGTTCTTGGGACACAGGAATCGATTTCCCATTTCTCAAGAGAAATTAGGAATATGTTGAAACGATACATTTATTCAGGTGAAAACAAAACTAACTAGCTAAATTAATAAATGCTGCCCTCAAATCATATGTTCATGTTTGAAGTTCAATGTTAGAGTAATTATTAAACATATTCTTGTAAGCTCATTGTTTTGACTTGTGGGCCACAGGGTAGCACATTGGTCTGATATGTGTTATTATTATCGTATTGTTATACTGTTAGATTTGAGGTTTGTCCATCTGTAAGCTTTAAAGCGCGGTGGTCGTCGCGCAGCGCGTGTTCGAATTTCATGTAAATAAACAATGTATTTTACATGCGTTGTATACGTCGCTATGAGTCCCATATCGAACAGGACGCGGCACGACGACTGCCGCCCTTTAACAAAAGATATATAAAGACTTCGGGAGGGGCATAAATTCTCGTTTAGGAAATGTTGGTGAAATTGGTGTAATCAACCATTGGGATATAAATTGATAAGAACAAGATGCACATATTTTACCATTCCAGTGTTTCACGCATTAATATTATTTTGTAAAAAGTTGAATTTTAGTGAAAAACACGTAGTTTTAATAACAAATGTTAAATAGTGTATTTTATGGGGTACAGACAATTACCGATCTGTGAGGAATGTCATTCTTCGGATACTTTTTTGACAAGACACTCTTACCGAAGTATTGTTTCAGACACAATCGCATGGGAAAAATAAGCCTACTCAAAGGTAACATCACATAAAATGCGATGTGAAAAAGGGCGAGTAGTCGTTCAAATCGGTCACTTTGTGGGAACCGTAGGGAATTGTGATGACGCACTGTATTATTGACACAATGACATATAAAAATCAGTGAAAGGCAGAGTGAGAGAGGCTTAACCTCTCAAGATTGACATTTCGCCCAGGGCCAACGGTAAGTTTTCATTTTGTAATATACTATACTAGTAATCCCAGAGGTTCACTTAACAACACGTGATTTCGATAGATGGCGCCCTCTAGTGACCTGGACGAAATCCCGCAGCCATCTTTTCTCACTTTTGAGTGAGCTGATGATCAACGTCGGAATATAGCGTATATGCTACACCACAGGACTGTGGCTACACTTTCAGTGTCTACATTTCGGTTGTGGCCGTTACAAATTGACACTAAAGACACAGGAAATGTTTTATTAAAAGAATTATCGGAGGGAAAAGATAGATAGTTACAGCTATTGTCGATTTAAACAAATGAATATCAAAACATTTTAGATCGTTTGAAGCAGTGTATAACACAAGGCATGAGATTGAGCAAATTGTAAATATCTCAAGAAATAAAATTTGAATGGCAATCAAGTTGAAATTATACAAAACAAATTCTGTCGATTTATATTGAAAGTATATCATAATGCACCATATTTGGCTATAGCGGGGGGAGGGTAGGTAGGTTTACTATTAAAACGTTTAGACTTATTAGGATTATTAAGTACTGGCTTCGCATTTTATCATTACCCCGACACAGACTGGTATATTTATGTTACATGTTTCAGTACCATAAAGCAGAAAAGGGTAAAAAGTGTTGGGCCCTGAATTTAAAAATGTTACTTCTTTCTTATGGTCTGGGTGAGGCATGGTACAACCAAGGGATGGGGAACTCTGAATACTTTGTTAAGCTTTTCAAACAGCGATGCTTGGACATTGATATCCAAAATTGGCAAAGTGGACTCGAGTTATTTCCGAAGTTGTGTTTTTATAGAAAATTTAAATATATATTTGGTCAAGAGAATTATCTTAAAACAGTCCAAAAAGACTATTACAGGGAAGCATTGTGTCGCGTAAGAATTTCTGTCCATTGTCTACGTATTGAAACTGATAGAAAATTCCACGCATAGAAAGAGTTTGTATTTTATGTAATACCAATTGTGTAGAGGACGAGTACCATTTTTGCATTATCTGTCCGTTTTACCAAGAGTTGAGGTATAAATACATCCCAAGTTATTATTATACATTTTCCTTAGCCGAAAAATTTATATCGCTATTACAATTACAAAATGCAGTAATCTTGCGTAATATTTCCAAATTTATTTTTCTCGCCACATAAAAACGTAATACAATTATTTTGGTCTGACAGTTCATGTTCTTTTCATATTTTCTTGTTCTTTTTCAGTCACTGTAAAATGACTTGTTCTCTGTAAAATGTTATGTAATTACAATGAGTATACCTTGAGGCCGGAGGCCTACAGTATTATGAATAAAATATATAATAATTCATAATATTGAAAATTTGAATTACGTTTAACGTCCCCATTTTTTTAAAAACACAGTGAGTGTCTTAAGAAAGGGAACTGTTTTTTATATCTCAAACTTATTAAAAATAAAATTAACTTGATACTATTTATAAGGATGTATGTATGGTGTAAATATGTTTAAACAATCTTGCATCACTATACGATATAAGAAAACTAACACAATACACGATTTCGATCTAAGAATTGATAAACCATGGAACAATGTTAATTTTATGCAGGAGTTCAATTAGTTTATGTATATATTAATGTATTGTATTTGGAATGTTTTATGTTTCACTGTAGTTAAAGTAATCTATGTGTGTACTAAGAATATTAAACAATTTGTATTTATGCTTACCAGGTTACCCAAATGACAACGTATATTAAAACATGTTCTTCAATTATGTTATATTCTTACACAAACCTACACATTATTCATAAACAAAATTTTCCAAGTCCCGATTAAATGACGGGGAAAATATCATCAAATACACGAAAGCGAGTATTACAGAAAATCCTTTTAAATTTCGCCCCTGTCATTTAATTGCTTTGTGTATTATGTGCAACATACATCTAACGAGTATTGACATTATGTCGCTAAAAACACGTGCGCACACAGTAGATGGTATTTTTTAAACAGTGTGTCGTGGCCTAACTTGGGATTACAGTGA